CAATCCATGACGTGCAGCCGGGTACGTTGCCCGCCGTGCCCTCCCACCGGCTGTCCAACCTGTCGGCATCAGAGGAGCCTCGTGCTTGCCGGCCGCCGCAGGTACGCCTGCCCAGCCCGCCCTCTGCAATCGCGGCCTGCTCGAGCAGATGCCCCCCGAGCCGTCGCCGCCTGCCCCCCACCTGGCGGCCTCGGCGGCGCTGCGCGCCACCTCTGCTGTAGGTCCGAAAACTCTTCGGTCTCCAACGGCGCGCACGTTTGCGTCCAGCTCGCGGGCATCAGGCTGTGGTGCCAGCCAGAAGCACGGCGGGCGTTCGTGATCCCTCGTGGCGGCCTCCACGAGATCCTCCGTGTTCTCGCACGACGTCTGAGATGCCGCGGCACTGCCAATGCCGATGGAAGAGATTTTCGGGCACTTCAGCGTGGCACCGCTGGCACAACCCGTCAACCTCGGTAATGCTCGCGTCGATGAGCTGCCAACGCGGCCAACAGCATGGTGGTGATCATGATGACGACGATGATGACGACGACAATGATGATGATGATGATGATGATGATGATGATGATGATGATGATGATGATGATGATGGTGATGATGATGATGATTATGATGTTGATGATGATGATGATGATGGTGGCGATGATGACGATATTGACGGTAATGATGCTGCAGATGATGGTGAAGATGATTGTGCTCACGATGCTGACGATGCGGTTGACGGCGATGTTGCCGATGATTATGATTATGACAATGATGTTGATGATGAGGATGATGGTGATGGTGATGATGATGCCGACGATGATGATGCTGATGATGCGGATGATGCCGATGCTGATGCTGATGCTGATGATGATGATGATGATGATGATGATGATGATGACAAGGGTGTGGATGAGGATGATTCTGCTGTTGCTGCTGATTATGCTGCTGCTGACGACGATGATGATGACGATGTTGATAATGATGATGATGCTGATGATGATGATGCTGATGATGATGATGCTGGTGATGATGCTAATAATTCTGATGATAATGATGTCGATCATGCTGTTGATGATGATGTTGTTGCTGATGCTGATGACGGCAATGCTGCTGATGCTGTTCCATGATGTTGATGCTGATGGTGATGATGATCATGCTGCTGCTGCTGATGCTGATGCTGCTGCTGCTGCAGGTGACGCAACACAACGCTGATTATGCTGCTGATGCTGATCATGCTCATGCTGCTGCTGCTGATGATGATGCTGATGATGATGATGATGATGATGATGATGCTGATGATGATGATGATGATGATGATGATGAGGACGACGGTGGTGATGATGATGATGCTTATGCTGCTACTGATGATGATGATGATGCTGATGATGATGATGCTGATGATGATGATGCTGACGATGGCGATGATGCTGATGACGATGCTGGTGACGTTAAGGATGATGACGAACATGATGCTAATGATGCTGATTATGCTGTTGATGCTTATGGGGATGCTGCTGATGCTGCTGGTGATGATGATGATGTTGATGTTGATGCTGAGAATGGTGATGCGGATCGCGATGGTAATGATAATGCTGATGATGATGGCGATGATGATGATGATGATGATGATGATGATGATGATGCTGATGATGATGATGATGATGTCGATAATGCTGATAACGATGATGATGATGATGATGATGATGATGATGATGATGATGATGATGATGATGATGATGATGATGATGATGCTGATGATGATGATGATGATGATGATGCTGATGATGATGATGATGATGATGATGAGGATGCTGCTGCTGATGCGGTTGTTGATGCTGATGATGGTTGCGATGATGATGCAGACGGCGATGACGATGCGGATGATGAGGATGAAAATGATCATGATGATGACGATGATGATGCTGATGCTGTGTATTATGATGTTGATAATTCTGATGTTGATGATGTTGGGATGGTGATGCTGATGATGACGGTGATGCTTATTGTTGATGATGCCAATGATGATGCTGTTGATGATGATGATCATGATGATGCTTATGATGCTGCTGCTTCTGATGCTGATGATGCTGATGATGCTGATGATGATGATGCTGATGATGATGATGATGATGATGATGCTGCTGATGATGATGATGATGATGATGATGATGATGATGATGATGATGAGGATGATGCTGCTGCTGATGATGATGATGATGATGATGATGATGATGATGATGATGATGATGATGATGATGATCAGGATGATGATCAGGATGAGTATGATGCTGATGGTGAGGAGGGGCCTGAGGACGTAGATGAGGAGGAGGACCCTCGTCCTCCGCCTCCTCCTCCATCCCCACCCCGAGCTCTGCGAGGCTCTGCCCCTGGCGGGGCCGCCCGCAGGGTGCGCCTCTGCTCACGGGGAGCGCCGCCGGGTGCCCCCCCTTGCCCGCGGCGAGGGCGCGCGAGTGGGCATGCCGGGGTGCGCGGCGAAAAGTACAGTCGGGAGCCTTGAGACGGGGGCCAACGCAAACGGGGGTCAGCCAGGGCACCAGATCCTGCAGGATCCTGCGAAGACCCCCTCTGGCCGACCCGGGTTAGCGAGCCGCTCGTGGCCGCGAGGGCGGCCGCGCATATTGGCTGACCCGGGTTTGCGAGGACCTGCGTTGCAGTTTTTCTTTTTTCCTGCATTGTAGTTTTTGGTTTCCTGCTGACCCGTGTCTGGATTGACCCAGCTCGGAAGATCCCCGATACAATCGGACCCAGGCATAAGATCGAGGTCCGTTCGGGGAGGGTCCCTCGGTGTTGTTCGTGTCTGTTCTCAGCTGCCCTGATGCGCCCCTCTTGATACGCAGCACGTGCCGTGCTCCATGCGTCCGTATTGAGACCCTGTGTGTTGGCTCAACGCGTTGGCCCACGTTTTGGCGAATGTGTTGCGCCAGAGCTACGTTTTCAGTCTACGTGTCGAGCTCCCTGTCACCACGCTACGTGTTACGTGTTGCGTATCGGGGCGGCTAAGTGTCTGTTGGGTGTTCTTGTGCATCCTGGGGAGGGTACCCTCGGATGGCCTGTTTGTGTTGGCTGGCGGAGGCTCTCAGGTTCTTGAGAGATGCTTTCCTGGCCCAGGTCCGACCGTAGCTCGCGCTGCCGCCGCCGACGGCTGTGGCGGCGATGACGGCGACGACGACGGCGACGACGGCGTCGAGGACGGCGTGGACGACGTCGACGACGGCGACGACGGCGGCGTGGACGACGGCGGCGACGACGGCGGCGTGGACGACGGCTGGACGGACGCCTCGGGAGCAGCAGGGGGCGGGAACGGGGGCGGCAGCCACGAAGAAGTGCCCCGGGTGCGGAAGAGTGACCCGCGCTGGGTCGACTACACGCCGGAGTGACCTTCCGCCGGAGTGACCTCCGGTGCGGGCCCGAAGAGCTCCCCCGATCGCTGAGCGCGAAGCGGCGGCAGCGGCCTGCGCGCTCCGCTGCGGCCACCCCGCGTCCCCCGTGGAGCCGCGCACCAAAGGTCACTCTTGCCCAGGGTCACTCTTACGTGTAGCCGAGGGCTGGGGCTGAGAGCGCCATGCCGAACGACGGGTCGAGCGCGCCGCTCCTGCGACGGGGGCCGCGTTGCAGCGGGAGCACCATGTGGAACGGCAGCAGGACGTCTCGACAGCGCAAAGCAGGAGGCCTCGATGGCGACACCGGGCAGGCAAGGAGGGGGGGGGGGCGGAAGCCCTCTTCCCTCACCGTCCCTGCTTCAGCCCCCATCCTTCCTCCTCCTCCTCCTCCTCCTCCTCCTCTGCCTCCCGGTGGCCGATCGCTTCCTGCCGTGCCTCAGACTCTGAGGACGTGGCCTGCCTGCTGTCGGACGTACCCGTTGTTTCGGACTCCTTGCAGCTGCACGGTCTCCAGAAGTTCTCTGACGACCGCCTCATCCTTAATATGGTCTTGGCACTCTTTGAGCCTGCAGGCGGCCTGGTAATCCTCCTCCGCTTCCTCTTCCTGCTTCGCCTTTCCTCCTCCCTCCTTCCTCTTACTCCTCGCTCCTCTCCCCTCCCGCCGCAGCGCCTCTTCCTCCTTTCTCCTCATCCTCCTCTTCCCTTCCTCATTTCTCCTCCCTCTTCTGCCCTCCTCTTCCTCCTTTCTCTTCCCTTCTCTTCCCTCCTTCCTCTTCCCTCCTCTTCCTCCTCCGCCGCAGCGCTGGGGGAGCAGGAGGGGGACGGCGGGGGCGAGAGGTCGTGCCGGGCATGATCGCGGCGGCGCTCTACCCCGACGAGGCGGGGCTCGCGGGGAGGGGGGGGTGGTTGGGAAGTAGGAGGATGGGGAAGGAGGAGGAAGGACGAGAAGGATGAGCATGAGGAATGATGGGGAAGGAAGGGACGGAAGAGAAGTGGGAGGAGGGGGGAGGAGGGCGAGGAGAGGGAGGTGGGAGAGGGGGAGGGAGGAGGAGGAGGAGGAGGAGGAGGAAAAGGAGGAGGAGGAGGACGAGGAGGAGGAGGAGGAGGAGGAGGAGGAGGAGGAGGAGAAGGAGGACGAGGGGGAGGAAAGATGACAAGGAAGGACGAGGAGGATCAGGAGCAGGAGCAGGAGCAGGAGGAGGAGGAGGAGGAGGACGAGGAGGAGGAGAAGGACGAGGAGGAGGAGAGGAGGAGGACAAGGGGGAGGAAAGATGCCAAGGAAGGACGAGAGGAGGGAGGCGCAGGAGCAGGAGCAGGAGCAGGAGGAGGAGGAGGCGGAGGAGGAGGAGGAGGAGGAGGAGGACGACGAGGAGGAGGAGGAGGAGGAGGCGGAGGAGAGGAGTGCAGGAGGAGGGGAGGAATGAATGCCGAGGAGAGCGGGCAGAGGCGAGAAGGAGGGCGAGAAGGAGAATTGCCAAACTGGTAAATTCTGGGGATTGCGAGGGAGGGTCCGGAGAAGGAGGAGGAGGAGGAGGAGGAGGAGATGGAGGAGGAGGAGGAGGAGGAGGAGGAGGAGGGGATTGTGAGGGAGGGTCAATACTGGGGAGGGCGAGGAGGAGAATTGCAGAACGGGGCAAAGACTCGATAGTTGTGGCGAGGGGGATGAAAGGGGAGGCAGGAAACGGGTGTGAGGGATGACGACGGCGAGGAGGAGGGAGAGGAGGAGGAGGCGGAGGAGGAGGAGGAGGAGGAGGAGGAGGAGGAGGGAGGAGGAGGAGGATGAGGAGGAGGAGGAGGAGGAGGAGGAGGAGGAGAAGGAGGAATGTTCGAGGGATGAAGCGGAGGAACGTCGTACGTTCGCGGAGTCGGTGGCGGAGGTCGAGGAGGATGTCGAGGATGAGCCGCTCCACCGACGGCCCGTGCGGGCTTGCAGCCGGGCGCGACCTTCTCAAAGTCTTATCGCATGCGTAGTAGGAACGAACGGCGAGAGAGGAGGGGGAACTGGACGGATATGAGGACGGTCAGGTTGATGATGTTGATGACGGTGAGGACAGTGGTGGTGATGCTGATGATGATGAGCAGGCGAACTCGGAGAAGGGTATATGGTCATAGATCGAGTGATCGACGGTTTTGCGTTTAGTTCCACGGAGGGTGAAAGGATGAGATACAGGAGTGGGCGATGCTGAGGATGACGAGGGGCATGAGGACTATTGTGAAGACGACAGTGGTATAACGCACGCAGCGCAGCACACGTAGCGATGATGAGGAGGAGAAGGAGGAGATGGAGGAGGAGGAGGAGAAGGAGGAGGTGAATGATTAAAGTGTTGGGAAGGGGAGAAACAGGGATTGCTAGCATGAGGATGACGAGGGGGAGGATGAGGACCAGTGTAAACCCAAGAGTCATCAACCATGTTGGAACGAACCCTCCCTCCAAGCTCCCTGTTCGTAGCCCCTACAACGATTCATTTCCATTGAGGGAACTGCCTCGTTGGAGGACAACCGTGTGAAGATCCTGAAGCGTGCCAAAACATTGCTCTCGGAGTTTCAACGCCACGTATCAACCTGACTGCTGCGTCTTGACGATCCGGAATCGTGCCAGCACGCATTGCTGGGAGTTCAACACCGGGAATCAACAGAACTGTTGCGCCCGCGTAATCCGGAAACCTTCCAACACGCCATGTCTGGTACGTTGACCATGGGAATCCGTGAAACTCTTCCAAATTTTTAAAACGAATTTGCGCGGCGCTACGACGAGAGCCACATTTCGACAACGACCCGCAAACGAATGTGCGCGGCGCTGAGGCGAGAGCCACATTTTGAAATGGAGTCGCCCTCGCTCCGTAAAACTCTTTGCGGATTTGTTCAACGAGTGTGCGCGGCGCTGAGGCGAGAGCCACATTTTGAAAAGGAACCGCCCTGAGTCCGTGAAGCTCTTGCAAATGTTTAGAACGAGTGTGCGCGGCGCTGAGGCGAGAGCCACATTTTGAAAAAGACCCGCCCTCAATCCGTCAAGTTCTTGCAAATCACAAAATAACGATGGCGCGCGGCGCTAAGGCGAGATCCACATTTTGAAAAGAAACCGCCCTCGCTCCGTGAAGCTCTTGCGAATGGTTAGAACGAACGTGCGCGGCGCTATGGCGAGAGGCACATTTTGAAAACCGCCTGCCCTCCATCTGTGAAGCTGCTGCCACTGTTTAAGCTTCAGAGTCATAGGCGGTGAGGAAGTCTCCGGAGAAACGCCAGGCCCGCCCTGAAAATTGGCCTCTGGGTGCGACAGGGGGAAGGTTATCGATTAGGAGAAGGGGTTGAAGCAGAGGAGAGGAGGATTCGGAATAACTGGATGTGGGGAAAACGATTTCGCGCAGTATGATTAGGATCATGCTTTCAATCGTGCCCTCATTTGGCACGACGGGTAGCAACGCAGTCGTCCAGCGTCGCGCCTCCACATGTGACGACCCCTGCCATTCGCACCGCGCCTCTCCTTGCCCTCTTCCCCTTGTCCTTTGGTCCTCTTCTTCTCCCCTCCCTCGCACGATCATGTTCTCCGCACGGTAGGTTTGCGTCGTGTCGACCAGCGGCGACCCCGCCGCCGGCGTTCAAGGTTGAACGCCGACGGCGACCCAGAATCGATCGATGTTGAACGATCGGACGTTGCGGCAGCGGCCGATCGTTCAAGGTTGAACGATCCCTGCGGTGTCAAAAACCAACGCTGGGGTCGGCACGACACGAACCTGCCGTACCTCTCTTTGCGCCTCCTACTGCCCCCGCGGGTCCTTCTCGCCTCGATCTCCCCCCTCCTCGCGCTGTACTCCGTGTCCTCGCCGCCCTCCTTCCCCTTCGTCGTCGTGCTCCTCTTCGGGCGTCGCCCCCTCGCCCCTCCCTCCCTCCTGTCCCTCATCGTCGCCGCCATCGTCGTCGTCGTTGTCGTCTTTGCCTGTCGTTTCCTCGCCTTGCCGCCGGGCTCCGTTGCGATGGTCAAGCACTGATGCTCCTCCTCCCTCCTCGGGATCCTGGTGGCACCTGGTTGGTCGCACTGTCCGGTCCCTGCTGCCAGCACTCAGATTGCCGTTGTGTTTTCCAGATTTTGGGGCGAGTTGTTTTCTCCGTGAAGCAGTGC